CAGGAGTTGGAGGTTGCTGTGAGCTGTAATGCCACGGCACTCTACCCAGGGGGATAGCTTGAGGCTCTGTCTCAAAAAAAAAAAAAAAAAAAAACAACAATAAATGGCTTTAACAAACACTCCCATGCCTCCTCAATCCTATCTCATGAATGGCTCCTCTTACATCTAGTTCCTGAAAACAAAATCCTGGCTATCATCCTGATGATGCTCATTCCCTCCTATCCCAGCTCTGATCCATTAGCATTAATATACTTATTAAGAGGAAGATTTATTAAGCATCTACTCTGTGCCAGGCATTGAAATCTTCCATGGGCCAAGCACAGTTCAGATGCTTAAGGAAAAGGGAACACAGTCTGTCTTCCCTCCTGTCAACCTCCTGGGATACCTGAGTCCTGTCCCAGGGCCATCCTGGCCTCTTTCTGGGAATATTCCTGGCACACTCCCCAGGCTGGAGTTTTGCTTTATTGTTTCCCTCTTATTTTGCCTAGAATCCTCTTTCACCAGATTTTTGCCTGGCTCACCCCCTCTCATCTCCTTCAAGTCATCAAACATCACCCCTGTTAGGACTTCAAACCCCTGGTGCTGCCCGCCCAGCCCTGCTTCACTTTCTCTCCCAACTAGAATGCAAGGTGTGTGAGGCCAGGCTTTGTGCTAGGCCAACAGCACCTGGGAATAACAGATGCTTATTAAATACTTAATGACTAAATCCTTACAACCCTTCTGAGAGGTAAGCCTTATTCTCCCTCATTTTGTAGATGTATCTCCCAAGGTTCAGATAGCAGAGGTGACTCGCCCAAGATCACACAGCAAACACCTGGCAGTGTAGGCCCAGGGCCTGTCCTCACACAGGAACTTCCCATTCCCCCAGGAGGTCAGACAGATCAAGGTTTGCATTCTGGCTCTGCCCTTCCTGGCCAAGTTGTTACCTTCTTGGATTAGTCTTCCCCCTTGGTGACCTCTCAGCCTCTTTGTCCCTACCTAAAAGAAGGATTGGACCGGCTCAGCACCTGTAGCTCAAGCGGCTAAGGCGTCAGCCACATACACCAGAGCTGGTGGGTTCAAATCCAACCCGGGCCTGCCAAACAACGACAACTACAATGCAAAAACAGCCAGGCATTGTGGCGGGTGCCTGTAGTCCCAGCTACTTGGGAGGCCAAGGCAAGAGAATCACTTGAGCCTCGGAGTTGGAGGTTGCTGTGAGCTGTGATGCCACAGCACTCTACCCAGGGCGACAGCTTGAGGCTCTGTCTCAAAAAAAAAAGGAGGACTGGACCAGGTAATGATCATGAGAAGGTCCCAGGGAACTTCAAAGACCCCCCACTGGGACCCAGGCTCACCTTGACCTGGGCGTAGAAGCTGCCCAGGCTGCAGCAGACGCGACACTCGAGCATGGCGTCATCGTTGTTATGGGCATACCGCAGGGCCTTCTCGAAGCTCTCCAGGGCCTTCTGGAAGACACTGAGGCCCAAGAAGGCATTGCCCATGCTCAGGCTGACCTGGCCTCCAAGCTGGGCACTTGCCCTGGTGCCAGGCAGGCCAAGGCAGGTCTTGCAGTAGGAGATGGTCTTGTGGAACTCGCACAGCTTCTCATTGCTGCGTGCCAGGTTCAGGTAGCTCTCCAGGAGGAAATCAGCATCCTCCAGCTCCCGGGCTGTGTCGATCTGTACCACAGCAAACTGCCCACCAGGGCAGTGGGCAGGTGGTCCTCAGCCTAGACTCTGAGCCTTGGGCCCCATCCCCGACTCCACAGGCTCAGAGCTGTAGGCTCCATGCCCGCGCCCCAGCCTCACACCCAAAGCAGCAGACCCCCAAAGCCTCAGACCCAGCCCTTCCATCCAATGCTGGGCTCAGATGCATCCTCTATACCCCAGCCATAGACTAGCAGCTTCAGCCTGAAGTCTCAACCTCCAAGCTTAGACTCACAGCCTTCACCCTTCCCCCCAACCCTCAGATCTAGAGTCTACCACTCACACACCCTCAGCCTCAAACCTGGAGACCACACCCCACCAGGTTCAGATACAGCACCCTTGAAAGAAAGGCTGAAACTTAGACTCTGAGTCCTGGTCTTGAGACCCTGAATTCTGGACCCTGAGAATCTCAGTTTCAGAGGCTCAGACACTGAAGTCTAAGGCCGGAGGCCTGAATCTGAAGCTAAGAGCCACCACCTAAGACCCAAGGCCTTGGATACAGTTTCAGAGTTGCAGTCTCAGGTGCCAGCCTGTGGGATGCAGGGGAGCAGGGGAGGCCCGGAACGGGCTGGGGAGCCCAGGAGAATCCAGCCCGGCTGGGTCCACCCACCTTCAGCATCTCTTTATAGCGGCCCATCTCGGAGTGGGCTGTGACCAGGCAGCCCAGCACGCGAAAGCGCCCCACTAGGTCGGAGCTCTTCTCCAGCACCTTCATCCACACCTGCAGTGCCTTCTCTGTCTGGTTAGACTGGTACAGCTGGAGCCCCTTTTCAATCTGCTGCTTCGTCTGGTCCTGCCCCATCCCCCCAGAGCCCACTACCTGACTCCGGAGACCCTGGTGGCTCCTTGCCTCTAGGCACTCATGGTACGGGAACTACAGCACCAGCTGCCCACTGAGCCCCACGAGTGAAAGAGTCGAGTGGGAGCAGAGTAAGGCCTGGGTGGAGAGCGGGTGCCACACTGGGAACAAAGCTGGTGCGGCCCTTCTGCACAGCTGTCCCTGCCAGTTGGGGCCACGTGGCTCATGAGGAATGTCAGCAGCAAGGTCACGAGGGCCTCTGCCCCACCCACACTGGGAGGGGGCTGCCCCAGGGACACCAGCACACTGCCACCTGGGTACCCTCTTTGGCGTCCCTTTGACGCCAGCTCCGACAGTCCTGGCAGGCTGCCCACCTCTCCCCCAACCCTGGGGCAGCCTTGCCAAGGAGCTGCCTCCAGCCAGGAAGAAGCTCAGTCCTCAGGCCAAGAGGGGCTAAGAGCTGGAGAGGAAGCAGTGATGAGATGGACACATGGGCATCCGGGGGCTGGGGGCAAGTGTCCTACTCTGTTTCTCCTGCATCTAAACTCTCCCACCCCAACCCTCCCGTGGCTTTGTTCCTGTGATTCTCGGGGCACAACTGTCACTTACCCGCACCATTTCTGGTACCTCATCCTAGAGGGATGGAGAAGGATATCCAGCTGGTGCCAGAGGCCTGGGGCCTGGCCTGGCTTCCTCCTAAGCCACAGGGTGAGCCCTAGCCAAGTCATTTACCTCTCTAAGCTTGTTTCCTCATCTATAGAATGAGGATAATAATAGGATAATAAACTTTAACTCAAGAGCTCTCAAGAGGGTCTCACAAGGCACAGTGGAGCTGGTTAACAACATGGGACCTGGAGCCAGGATGGATCTATGGATGTGGGCAGTGTGACTCTGGGCAAGTTACCTGGCCCTGAGGAATGAAGAGAGTAACAGTACGGGCTCACTGAATTGTTATGAAAACTAAATGACTTACTAGTTGAGTGGGACAGTGCCTGGCACATAGGAAACAAGTAGGTGTTGATAAGTAAGAGGTGATCCTGCTCCACGGCAAACTGCCCTTGACTCCAATCTCCACCCTGATTTGAAAGGGTTCCTACTAAGGAGCTTTAATATTGTGGAGATAGGCAAGGTCTTACAAAGTACTGGGGCTCTCAGGGATGAAGAGGCCTAAATGACAGGCTCCTACCAACCCCACAGCTCCCCCCGCCTCTCTCTCTCCTTTCTCTCCCCCAGGGTGAAGTTCATCCTCTCAGAATGGATAATTAGGCGGTTTTTAGTATATTCACAAATTTGTGCATTAATTGCCACTAATTTCAGAACATTTTCATCTGCCCAAGGAGAAGTCCCATGCCCACTAACTCCTTGTGGTATGGCTAAACTGTGTTGTGCCCCCTCCCAAATTATATGTCGACGTTTTAGCTCCTAGGACAGTGATTTTCAACTGGTATGCCCTGAGAGGGTCTTAGGTATGCCTAGACAATTTTAAGGATCATTAATTAAGGGCGGTGCCTGTGGCTCAGTGGGTAGGGCGCCGGCCCCATATACCTAGGGTGATGGGTTCAAACCCAGCTCCAGCATAACTGCAACAACAACAACAAAAATAGCCGGGCGTTGTAGAGTGTGTCTGTAGTCCCAGCTACTTGGGAGGCTGAGGCAAGAGAATCGCCTAAGCCCAAGGAGTTGGAGGTTGCTGTGAGCTGTGACTTCACAGCTCTCTACCGAGGGTTAATAAGTAAAATTCTGTCTCAAAAAAAAAAAAAAAGATCATGAATTATTTTCAAAAGAATTTTCAAACAGAAACAGAGTAATATATTTTTTCAAACAGAGTAAATATATTTTTTTAACTTTTTTTTTTTTTAAGAGA